GCAATATCAATTCATGAAAATGGAAGTTGGAAATCCAGATGATAAAAATCCGAAAGAAATGTAAAACTATCGATTTCATATTATAATATAAAAAGTATCTTCTTTTAAGGAGCTAATTGCTTTCAAAGTTATTTTATAATTTAATAAAAATAAGGTAAGAATGATAGATTAGCTCCTTAAAATTTCAGAGTAACACTGAAGATAAAAAAGAAAAAAACAATTTAATAAGACGATTAAATTTAAATATAAAAAGAAAGAATGAATTTTAATATTATCTTTATGCAAATAGTGTTATATTCGTATATCTAAGAAAGCGACGTAATTCGATTATAATAATTTGATAGATCTTAGTGAATCGGATGCATGAAATTATAATAACACGCGGAGTTCTCACTTTCATTTCAAGTTACCTCGAAAGCTGTATTTTCACGAAATATACAATTTTCTGAACGACGAATGTTGCAGTTTGCGAGTAATTATCAGCCTCTCGAATTACCGTACGAAACTAGCCCTCGCAGAGTGATTAAAAACTTCTTCAGAACGTAATAACACCACTGTATACTGCATTATCGTATATTAGGCTACCTAACGATGCTTAGAACGAGGGGAGAAGGTAACGCAGTTATCCCTAATCATTATAATTATCCTCATAAATAAGAACCGTTTCTTGACCATATTTTCTGTTTTTCCATCCCACCGGCCGTGTTATCTAAATTTCATCTTTAGCTTTCCCCCTTCGAAGCTACGGAAGTTCCTGTCCGGAAACTTCCACACGCTACGCCACGTTGAAGAATATTTCTAAGAAAAAAAAAAAATAAAAAAATAAAAAATTAAAGCTACCTGATATTCTCATCCACTTGTCTTTTTTTTTTTATTTTACTACTATTCGAACGAAAATAAATGTCATGTGTAGAGCAAACGGATGTGAGCCAAATTTGTAAACGGAAGGAAAATTGGAAAGTATCTGTTGGAAAGATAAAATGGAAAAAAAAATAAAAGGGTACGAGATATCTTCTTCCATCTCTCTTTTTTTTTTCCTTTATTAAAACGCAGATTTTAAAAAAATACAAAATGAACCTCATTTATAATCTAAGTGAAGTATCGATGTGATGAACGAGAAAGAACTGGATTTTATTTCGTGGAACGAAAACACACAGGAAGAAGCTACAAATGTAATAAATTCGAAGGATCGAGGCAAGAGAAATTTCAAATGAGAAATATTTCTACTATCTAAATATAGAGAACAAAGTTTCCGTTCTTAAATTGAAAATTTAATTCGAAATGTAAAAAAAAAAAAAAGAAAAAATGAAGTAAGGGATGATCATGTGAGTCGCTTAACGTGGTCCGTTTTCTTCCGCGAGCTCTTGATGAAACCGAGAAACTCTAGTTCGGCAACTGCTTGAGTGAAACGAGCTCTAAATCTCCGTTAAGGATACCATGAACCACGATAAAATTCACACGTGTTCGCACTGTGAATTATTCAAACAAGAGGCACGCGATCCCGGCGAGTAACCACCGCGAGCTTACGATTTCACTATTACCATCTACGATATGAATTTCAAGCGTACAGTGGTTAGACAAATCTTCCTATATACGTTCCCATTATTCCCCCACCGGATACGGACGTGAGAAAACCTCTAAATGAAAAAGGATACTGTAATTTCGGGTCCACGTCCCGTTGTTCCCTTGCGCCGCTTGCTGGATCCACGATGATTAAAAACGCCTGAAAGAGTTTCAGAAACATGGTACAAGGCTATCTAGTCGAGAAATAATGTTATCATAATTGTGTATGGAATGTACGAATTGGAAACATAGGCAAGAGAATGAAAAAATTTATAGTTAAGAAATGAAGAACGTTCGATCTGAAGAATTTAAAGTCAATGGACAAAGAATATTGAGTTTAGAATTAGAAAATTTAGGAAATTTAGTAGGGTTTAGGAGAAATGTTTAGTTTGAGGTCTGGAGATTTAGAAACAACTTGACAATTTAGTCGAAAGTCTACAAGTATGATTTTCAGATCTAAAACTCTTAACAAGTTTTCATCTACAGAATTTAGTCCAGAGTTTGACAAATCATGATGGATACAATTTAATCTAGGGTCTAATGTTTAATTTAAGAGTGTGCATTCTGAACAAAATTTTATTCAAGAAGATTGCTAGTAGTTGTTTTGGCAGTAATCAGGTGCAATTAATTCTGTATAATATGGAATATAAAATATAAAAATCATGGAAAAATTCATCGAAAAACTTTGAGATACTTCAATACTTACTTTAATATGGTTGCGACATTCTACTAATCGCATGAAATAGCACCTTTATATTCAATGATATATAATATCAAAGTCATAGAAAATTATAGAATATTATAGTAGTAGTATCATTCATTTAAAAAGTTAGAAGTTTCATAAAAAAAGAGGTTCATTCTTAAGAATGGAGTTTTCTTAAAATTCAATATCAAGTAAAAAAGTAATTTAAAAAAAATTTTCCACGTATCGAATCACTGAACAAATTATTAAAATTGTGGCTATGTCATAGTCGATGAACGATTAATTGGTCTTTCGTTAAAAACGAATTAAAAATGAGAAATATTTAGTGAAAAAAGGTCTGTTTATGAATGTTTATGAAGTCTGTCTATCAATGAAATATTTTCAACGTTTCGAAAGCTATATTTTAAGGCAAACGAAACCCGGCTGTGCCATTAAAAGCCTGCGAATGTAGCTTAGCACCTTACGAGCCGTGGTCGACGTCCGTGAAAATGGAATTCTCGGAAAATGCTCGTGTCTCCATTCATTTCTCCATTTCACGGCGTAATTCTTTCATATAAAGGAACATAAACGCCAGGGATTAGACGAAACAAAAGTGTTTGGATTTATGATTTAACACGTGACGAGATGAAACGTACTTCGCGACAAATTTAACCGAAATAGTTGGAACTTTAATTTCGTCACTAATATTTCACACAGCGAAACGTCGTGGAAATTTTCATCTAGAAAAAAAACGTGTATCAAAAATATTATTCGCAAAACGGAATATAATTTGTTCTGTGTTTAAAATATGTTATCTTTGAAATTTCTGCAAATATTTGTTTTTTCTCTCTTTTCTTTTTTTTTTTTTTTTTTATTTAACTTCACGTCACGAAATGAGAAATAAATCAATACGTATGAACCAAACAGATATTTTCTATAATACAATGAAACGCGTCGACGTGCACTCGTGAATAAACAAGCGCGTGAATTTTTATCACGGCGTTGATTTAAATTCCTGTGCTTACCTAATACAGAGTTATCGTTTATTATATTTAATAAAATTTTTCATGAATCAACATCAAAGAAAATATTACGTTCGACATATGCCACCAATGTTGATAAAAATATTCTAGTTAAAATTCTAATATAAAATAAGATATTAGATTTAAAAGGAAGTCTAGTATTTTATTAAATTTCATTTACGAAATCTGAAAAATTTTTCCTCAATCTCCAATCAGAAATAATTTTTTTTATTCCATTCAGAGAAATAAACCACACGTGTTTCTAAATCTAAAAATATTTGCATGAACCAGACACATTTATATTTATCTCTACCAGTCACATGTATACGGCTATTAAATAATTTGATTTTATTTCCAACGCACGAAGCAGTGATTCACCGAACACTATTATCGTGCACTATCTCTTTCATCTTGTTATTTTTCTAACAGCACTGCGTAATTTAGAGATCACTTACATATGCATACATAGTGACTTTAATTTTCTTTATCCAATACTTACACCTTAATAACGGCAAAATAATAAAACAACCCCTTTTACAACACGCTGTTCGCATGAATCACTCGTTCGCGAGCACGATTAACATCACGAAACGAATGTACATACAATAACTCACGATAATATTCAAACGCAGAAATCTTTTGTGAACGTGTTGTATAAAATATCTTGAAATTCCTATATTAACCTATATTAACGACTCTGACAACAAATGCAAGTACTTAGGATAGACATAGTAAACTCTTTTTAAAATGTAAATATGTTAATTTCTTTTTAACTTAATAATTCATTTATTTATCATCAATTGAAATTGATCTGTATCTATTAAACTTCAATCTTCCGATTTTAGATATGCATGATATATTTTCAAATCTATAATATTCTCGTAAAAATCCGCAGTCTACTAATTACAATACCAGCAATAATACTTCAAAGTATTTCACACAACACGTACAATATACGCACAAAAGTTTCCTGTGCTAATTCGTAAGCCAGCGTACGTGACCATAAGTATAACTGTGATTTAGCTGTAAACACGAAACGGATTGTTACCTGTAACCAGTCGTACATATTGATCAGCTTCCTGGATTCCAAGTGCAACTTGTAAATTATACTGAGGTCAGGCAGCGTGGACGGAATGGCGTCGTCGTTCTCCAATTTGCAGCACTCGCACTGAAATATGTATTTCCAATTAACTTCAACCTGTATAAGAGCCTCGTTTATTATCACGAACAATCTATAATCGATATCCGACCGCTCGATAGAGAACAGTGAAAGGTCAATAGCCATCGGAAGAATCGTAAGCCGCAATGAACGCGTGAAAAGAAGCGGAAAACTCTCGTTCAAGGCGGAAGCAATTTAACAAGAGTCACGAATACTTCGTAACGAATTATATTTATACTTTAAGTATCTCGAACGGGATTGAAAAATGATCCGTGGAAAAATTTTAAGGAGATTCGTTTCGATGTTCTAGAAGATTTTACGATTATATTTCGACAATGAGGAGATCAATAAGAATAATCGTGTAAAAATTAACGCTCCATTAGAATTTTTCGTGATTATATCTGATTTCTCGATTTCCTAATAATGTAGTTCTAATTTTTGTGAAATATAGTAAAACACAAGTAGAAACAAAACATTTATATCCTACATTTCATTAGAATGAATTATTTTTCAAATAATTGAAATGAAACTTCAACTATATCGCATTTAAACATGTTTCAGCCTTTCATAGTACACTAATATTTCAATAAAATGCAGTTAATTGAAAAATATGATTCTATAAACACACAACAGACAATCAACGAAATTATTTATTTGTAATATGTGACCGTCTTCAATAAATAATACGAAATTTTAAATACATATTGTGATATTATAAAAGATAATTATACACACAGAGTATGAAATTTTCGGAGTGTTTCAGTGTTAATAAATTTATTAGAATAACAGTTTACTTGCAAAAAAAAAAAATATTTCTACTTCACTCACATTTAAGTACACGTGTGGATCATTTAATCCAGTGTGAATGGCAGCTCTCAAAGACCCACGGACATGCTGTTTCGCTAAATTTCCATCGCTGAAGCAAAATATCTCGTTGGCTGGCACGTAATGAGGATTGACCAAGTACACAGAGAATACTTCCTGATCCAAATAATCGATCAAATCCTGTTGCGCTACCTTGTAAGGTGATCGAGATTGCGTTTGCGACAGTTTCAATAATTTCTACGGGCGGAACAACACAAAGCAAAACATTGCAATTTCCTCCAATTCTCTTTAACACACGCGCGTCACTTCGAGTAGCATTGAATTCGATTTCAGACCTCTTTCAGTTGAAGTCGACTGAGTTTTTCACCGGTGGAAACAATATCGACAGGATTCGAGGCTACGTCTAAACTGGCTTCCTCGATTATTTTTATATGGCTCTGCAAATCCGCTTCAACTTTATTCATAACTGGATCCTTCGAACTTTCCATAATTGCTGCGAGAGAGTTCAATTTCGCAAGCATTTCCTTCTTCGACAAAAAGCTCAATAATTGCAGGCATTCTTTGTACTCCTGAGATTCTCTCAGATCTTTCGTGTAGACTGCTTTCGTGTAATATTCGCGCAGCTAAAATAGTGTTAAATCGATTCCAAATTTTCGAAATTTCGTTGAATGTAGATTACGTTATTTATTTATTTTTTTTTTTTTTTTGACGAAAGTCATTCGTTTTTCATTGATTTGTACCTGTTTGCCCATCGGCGCGTTTGGCAGTTTCGACATCAGATCGTGGAGACACCTGACCGTTATTAAAAATCGGTGCATATATTGGTGAAATTCGTTTAGCAGTTGCGACAATGTTTCCTAATAATAAGCTAGCTTTAAATCAGTGTTAATTTTATAATCTATGATTACTTGAAATTCTAATAGATCATACTTCAAAACTACGTGTAATATAAAGTAGTGCTTGCTAAATAGCAGTAGTATGCATTTAAGAATTAAATGAATATAAAAACCGTACCTTGAACCTATCATTGTCAAGCAATTCATCTTTATTCTCATCGCTCGTATGTTGTTTAATATATCTTTCTATAGATGGTAATTTTTTAATTTCTGTCAGATCGTCGTCTGTTAAAAAAGACATCCGATGTTTTATCTTTTTCGGTTGACAACAAAGAGAATTTACATTGTTCGCATAAAAGTGTTGTATCATACATATCTAAAAACGTAACAATAACTTGGACACTGAATGGAGCATAGAAAATGGGAAACAAAAGGATAAAATAAATTGGTACCTTGTAACTGTGTAAAAAATTCTCTACCGAGAAATCATAGAACAAAAAAATATCCGTTAAAAACTGAAACGCGCGCCCAATTAATTTAAACGGAATGTTTGTGCAAAAAACGGTTTTTTCCAACATATCTGACAAAATGTCAATTTGTTTCTGCATGTGAAATACCTAGGCAAACGTAATTACTTTCTTAAAAATCTCTATTTCATTATTATTTTTGTTATCAATTCTATGGTGTATTCGTTGCTTACTTGAACATTCAACTTTGATGTAACATCGTATGTTAAAGATCTATGAATAGCATGCAAAGTAGTTGCAACACCAAATATAAGAATAAATTTCATTGAACTTGCATATGAACTAAAAGATATAGAATTTTAGTTTCTTCATATTAATAATGTGTATATTAATTTGATATACTCGTCAAAAAATTATAATACCTCAATATTAAAATAAAATCATGTAATACTTGAGGGGAAGAACTTTCAAAATCAGTTATCACTATAACAAGGGGATCATTTTGATCACAATGTTTTTGGTGCCACAGCTTAAGATTTCTCATGTGACATCGATTCTTTTTAATTAGAATATCTTCTTCGTCCTACAAATTGTACGTATATTACACATAATATATAACAGTTTGTATTTCTTAACACTCTGACAACTACCTTTTCATTACTCATCAACTGATAAATTGATTCTTCTATGAGATTCTTTATATTATTCGAGTCCCTACTCCATATGACAGCTATATGCTTTGTTATTGGTTTTAACTTGGAAATTACTCTTTGAAACATTATCGTATGATCAGAGACATTAACTCCTACAATGATTTCAAAATTGTATTTATCTGATTAAAAAAGAGTTCTAGATGTATATTCAATTAAATCACCTGTTAATAAAATGGCTGTTTGTATTTCATTTTCAACTTGCTCAATTGGTTTAGCTTTAATTTTGGAAACAAAAGATTCTAAATCATTCAAAACTTGTTGGAACATATTGGACCTTATATCCTAAAATTTTAATTACTAATGTAATATAGCAGCACGAATTACTTATGTATGAACATTCAACATGGAACAAATACCTCTATAGCATTTTGAATGTTTTCCCATGTTTCGCAATAAGTGAGATACCATGGTTCGTTTAAATAATCCAATGGTTCAAATTTTGTATGCTTATTCCCAATTTTGTATGCACCTTTGTGTGCAAAAACACCCTGAAATTTTATTTTAATTTTCTAGTCTGAAGATTTCATATTTAAAAACATGTAACACAGAAAAGAATTTTCTCTGAAAACTTAAATTTATAAAGTATTAAAATATTTATAATGCGTGTAACTTTCGTTCAAAAGAGATAAAGAAATTGCATCTAATCGTGCAAATAGTCAAAGTAACAATATTAAATTATCTTATTATAAGTGTATAAGCTAAGTCAACCACACAATGTGCTGCATATGCACTTTGAGGTTATGTAAGTAAAAGCAACAGGTGTACTATACCTTTGACACTGATACGTTGTCCATATTATCAAAGAAGCCTTTTATAGCTATGTATTTAAACAAAACAATCAAAAACTATTCCAATCATTAAAAATCACATAACTGACATCGAAAGTGAAAACACAACCTCACACAACGACAAGCTAAACGCCACTGTCGCTCTGGTTAGTTCCAGAAGCGTACCTAGAGAGCGCTCATCATCAGCGTGCTTTGTCAGCACGAATCAAACCACCTTAAGTAATCACTCCACATTAAATTAAATGGATTTAATTTTGTTAAACTATTATTAGTCTAAATTTACTAATTATAAATATTTTTGTCAATTTAAAAACGAAAATTTTCCGCTGCAGATTACGTATTTCAAATTTTCGTATTGAAATTACGAAAAATATTTAGCAAAAAATGGGACTATCGAATAAAAAGTTCCAATAATTTCCGAACAATTTCTAACAGTGGCAACCATCCTCATTAAAGGGAACATTACTCTATGTACTCAGTTATATGAATGCTTCATACGGTACGGCGTTGAATTCCGCATTATACTCGTATTAAAGACAATTTGAATAAACGTGTTCGCCGTGCAAATTACAGTGGCGCACTTACAATCAACGCAACGCGAGGCGAGGACGGAATTTTGAAAATCTGGCTCTGTCCGGGTAGCCCGACGACGACAGAGGTAATTGCGATATTCGAATTTCACGAGCGTAAGCCGGCCCACGATCATCATCTGAATCACAAATGTGCCGATTGAATCCGTCGAAGCCGAGCAAACAATCCGGAAACCGAGAGTTTGATGCCACGTTTCCGCGGCGCAGGACGGGAGAGAGAGAGAGAGAGAGAGAAGAGGAGAGGAGAGGTGGGCGTTCATCGAACTTTCGTTAAACTGGCAGGGCGGTGCAAGCGTGTGCTACTTGCCCGGAGAACTTGCCTGCCAGAAACTCGTAATTGATTTAAAGAAGTGTCCAAACAAGATGCTGTGCCCTGTGCCTCGCGCACTGTACTGAAATATCCCCGCGGTGGTATGCGCCCGTGTAAACGACCGTGCAAACGGCCACTGGAATCGAAATTATTCCGAGCTCGCCGAGCACGTTCCAGCATTTCTATGAGCTTCGGCCGGAAGTCTGTTTGCCCCACCATCTTTTCCCGAAATCTCACCTACAAATAGGTGTTGCGAATCTGTCTGCACTGAATTTCGTGTCGTGAGACGTAGAACTTGATCGACGCGTTGATTTGATCTCGGAATTTTAGATATACTGTTACTTGTTTGAGATTCCTCTGTGAACTTGAAATGAAATTTCCGTTTGAAATTAAGAATATAAATGTATGAGGTAAGAGTCTAAATTAACGTTGTCGATTGTAGAAACCAGATTGTAGAAAAATATCAAAAACGATGATCAATACTATCCTTCCATACGTCGCACTTTCTCTGTGCAAAATAAACTTCGTACTTTGTGACACAGTGTCGTGATGAAGGTGTATATTTAAATATCTCGATCAATCCTTGCTACAAAAATTTATATCATGATATAATACGATATCGCATTCAATCAATTACGCAACAAAATAGAGTCTATAATCTACAACATTCAAACACATCTCATTTTCTACCTCGAAATACTTGAAACAAAAAAAAAAAAAAAAAAAAAAAAAAAAAAAAAAAAAGAGAAAAAGGGATCTATCAAACGAGAGAAAAAGAACAAACAAAATCTTCCGATAAAACAACAGAGATTTGCGAACTTACGTAGATCCTCTCCTACTAGGAAAACATTTACCGACCATCGAATCAGTATCGAAAGAGAATAGTCTCGATTCCACTCGCAGCAGTTTCCAGCGTATTTCGACGATCCAGCGTTTTTCCCTCGTGTCACCGGCTAAGCCAAGCCACTCCTGATACTTTGTCCGGTTGGCGTACGGTATACGATAACTGGTTTTTCCCTGTTCCCGTTGTTAATCCAGCCGCGCGTATTTTCTTTGTTAACCAAGCTGCTCTTCGTCGGCAGATCTCGAAAAGCACAACTTTTCAAGTACAAGCTGGCGAACACGGACGCGCACCCAAGCAACGAAAAAGGTTTTTAGCGGGAGAATATAAATCGATTGCGCAAGCAGCTTTGTACGGATGTTCTCGTTTTGTGGTTGGCGATCGCACCTGTGCCCCCAAGGGCTCTCCCGCTGGAAAATAAATGGGATTCGATCGAGGACTTAATCATCCGCCTTTCGTTGAAAGGGACGTCTGGGACAAAACGATGCAGAGATCGGTGCAAAGAGGGTGGACCTATTGATCGTTCGATGGAACATATTTGTCTAGATTTTTCGATCGTCGTACGTGCGATTCGACGATGTGCGATGAATAATGTCTTTGCTTTTATTTCACTCACTCACTCTCTCTCTCTCTCTCTGTCTCTGCCCCTCTCATTCGTCGTGTAGTTTAACGGTATGTATCAAAGATCTTGTTTCTGCTGGCTCGAGATAAATGCGCGAGCCAAGCTCGTAACGTGCACGAGTTTCGTTTTACTTTCTCTGTATAACTGTTTCCGTATAGTTCGGGACGTTTTACGTCAAGCAATAACTCTAACAGAGGATCGGTAGACCTTTTTCGATGGACTTTTCTAGGTGAAATTTTTACAGAAGCTTGAATAAATATGAATCTCAATAGATATCTTACAGTGAGAGTTCAATCGTAATAGAATTGAAGAGTGAAATTTTTAAATTTGTATTTTTATTATCGTCATGATGCAAGTTCTTGCAAATTATTGACAACTGGTAACAATCTTATTTATTAAATCATTTTGCGAAAATTAATATATGTTAACAAGTACTGAATCTCTGAATTCTAAAGAAATTCTTGCTAGTGTTTCTGAAACTATCGACCAGATTTTAATAATAAAATAAATAAAATATGTAATCTGATGAAATTCGAACTCTTCGATAGTCTATAGTTGTAGGTTAATTTGATAGCAAATCATTTATTTTATCACATTATGTATATGAAAGCATAAACTTCTATTATTCAGTGAAGCTTATAACACGCAAGTGAGTAATAAATAAGCTTACCTGCTCACCATAATTTTAGATTACGTACTTCTATTACATCAAGGAATTGTATCGCTTCATCAATGAAAAATGATTAAATTATGCTTTTTTTTTTATTATGTTTGAAAAGAGTCTGCTCTAATGATAACTTCTGATGATTTGTTCGATATGAAATTAGTTCACTTACAGTGGACCAATAAAAGAAAGTTTGAAAGATAAGCTCCACGAAAGAACAGTGTAATTTTACAAGTCGAAATTATATCCTAAAGCAGATGACTAATGTGAGGTACGATAACTTAGGTACTAATTTTAAGCTAATTTTTTGTTCAACAGTGCATATGAAAATAAAACTGAAAGAGTATTAAATTATTTACATAATTCTTAAAAATCATGATTTCACTGCAAATTTATGCAAATTTATATTTTTATGGACACAGTTAAGACAGTGAAATTTTAGTCGAAATTTACCTTGCAAATATTTGCAACTCTACTTCATCTATTTTCTATATTTTCATATTTACTCTGTAGTGTACTAAATATAATTTAGCTTTCTTAAAATTTCCATAAACGTACAAAAATTTGTTTACCATTCAGTCATACATATTTTTGTTTTTACTATGAAGACAACTACGTAAATATATTGCTCCGAAATGACTATTCGAAGATGAACATTCATTTTATGTATTATAAAAATTCTCAACCTAACCGCAAGCAATAGATTAATCTCGAATATCCATAGATTGACTTCTCTCACAACCAATGTACTATTTATATACCAACTCTTGCTACCAAATCAATCAAGTTACACCCACTATATCTCTACATTTTACGCTCGCCGCTCCCTACAAACGCTCGTCGATCATCGACGTGTTTGCATGCATGCGATCATCAACTCGAATCGATCTCTCTCTCTCTCTCTCTCTCT